TTTTTTTTTTTTTTTTTTCCTTTCCGGCATCGTCAGTAATTCATTTTCTGTCTGATTGAATGGACTGCATCGTGATCCTTACACATCACGACTGTCACATTCCCGGATTGCATAATAATAATAACTCGTTTTTGTGACTCTACTGAAGTTGCCCCAAAGAAGGGGAAACTACGTGGGAGTCACAAAAATGAGTTATAATTGCACTACGGGCCAACATACCGTTTCAAACTGCAACCCAGCTTTCTGGCCAGGTAGGGTGCCCTTAGTGCTATTGCAAACTGTATCTTGCCCTATAGTGCAATTATAACTCCTTTTTTTAACTCTACTGAATTTACCCCTTGACTGTCACATGTGTCAGTTTTGTTCGTCTTCCTCCCGTGTTTGGATTTTTTTTTTTTTTTTTTTTTTTTTTTTTTTTGGATTGTTTTTTTGAAGAACATCTCTTCCCCCAAGCCTCTTTTTTTTTTGCCACAAGAAAACATCACCAGGGCCAAGTCCCACTTGCGGGTGTGCAGTCCAGTTTTAGGAGTGGTTCGACAGCCAGGACAGCAAAAAAAAAAAAAAAAACAGCTTTTATCGGCTGGGTTTACGCTACCGAAGAAATAGAATGCCCCGTCATTATAGCTCGACTAGGGTAAAATTCAGTCCAGATACAGCTATAATGACTGGGTGTTCTATTCAGGTGAAGACGTTAGTGGGCCGGGTGTTAGATTAGTGGGCCGGCTGAAAAGATCAGCTATACCAATTCCGTATGGAGAGAGAAAGGTACAGAGAAACATGGCAGTTTGTATCTGACGACTGCTTGACCAGCCATAACTTTCTTCAGAGACATGGGCAACAAGAGGTACAAAACGAGAGTCCGCAGGAAGGGGGCGGCGGCGGTACCAGGCGCCGCGCCGGTTGACGCGACTAGCAAGACTCTCCACGGCTGACTCGGTGACAACGGTAGCTTATCATCAACATCGAGGTTTCGGCCATCGTGCCACTTGACCGCATGGTTCGCCATGTCGGTAGTGGATTTGGAAAGCTGCCTCTCATCCTGAGTAGGCAACGACCCCTGTGGGGTCGGGCTTCTCCTCCCTGTAGCGGCCTGCTTACCGCCCTTGCCACTCGGTCGAGCGCTAAGGAGATCGAAGTATCCTGACTGCAAGTTTGAAACAAAGACGACAACAGTGACCTGAGAAGCCAACCCCGCGACGGGGTCGTCACGGTGAAGAATTCTTGGGATGGTATATTTGCAAAATCTCAATATTCCTTATTATAAGTCTGGAAATGTAACAAGTATTTATTGCATGTGGATCCAGGCCTCTAACAGTGACGATTTTCTGTAGGTAACAACGTTTAAGTAGGGTTTGACTATGGAGGGATCGACTGAGGGTTCATCGTCAGTCGATCGGGTATATAGTGTATACGCATCAGGAAAAGAAACAGACAGGAAATCTTCTGGACGCTTGTTTCAAAGATGGAATTTCCCCCCGCTGGCCTCAGTATAGGAGTAGCCAACTTAGTGATGACATCGTGAGGTTTTATTTAAATGAAGAATTCTCCAATTGAAATATTCAGCAGCTGAAAGAACACGCAATAACAATCATGTTTGAAAATGAGTCTTCGACACTCTTCAATTCCCTGAAAAAGAAATTGGTGAGTGCATGGAAATGCGTGGTATGATGCCAGAATTGTGGACGAATCGGTGACGAGAGGAAGATACCAAAGTGAGGGTAAGAACTTGGTATCCTTCGTCTCATCGGAGAAATCTATAATCCAATGGATGCTTACCAAGAACGAAGAACGAAGATACAATCCATTGTGAAGACAAAGAGACTATGTCCGTTTCTTGCCATGGATGACCCTGGCAGATATGAAGGTATTCAAGGACAGGAGCTCGAAAGTGGTATGGCTCCGCTGTCCACGAGTTCCACTACACTTCATGTCTGCTTTGAGAGTAGCAATCGAGAACACCTTCGGTAAGGTAACAAAGGTTCAGAAGTCCTACACCACGGAACAAGACGACGAGGAGCCCGGAATGGGCAGTGTACGCTTCGATTGGGATCCCAACGCACATCCAAGGATTCGTTCTAGGCTAGCGGTGGGAATCCCTATCCAGGGAGATAACTACTTTGAGGTGTTGTCGGCAAACACTCCCTGGTGTAATGTTTGCCGTTCCTTTTACCACATGGAGACTGATGATACATGCCCCGCAAAGGACATCGATCCTCTTGAAAATCCGGGCCCACGTCAGCCCCTTCCCGAACAGCCGTTCTTCGACTTTGTACCGAAGGGAGAAACTCCCTCGACAAACGGGTTTCGACCGCTGCCAACAGTGCCAAGGGGAGCTTGGAAGGAAACATCACAAGCCGAAAACGTACCTTTTCGTCAGAACAATAGACGAGGACCGAAAGGAGACAAGTCCAGGAAGAACGAGGGAAAAGAAATCAGGAGTGATGGGGGGAAAGGTCCTCATCGTAAAGAAAAGGGGCCGACAGGGGGACGAGAGAAGGAAAGAGAAAGGGAAAGAGCAAGGGAAAAGGAAAGGGAGAGGGAGAAGGAAAGAGAAAGGGAAAGAG